AGAACAGGCTCAAAAGACTAGCTATGTTGGTTTTCAACGCCAAAGAGAGAGAGAAAGCATTAACTGTGCTGTGATGATACTTGAAATTGTGTTGGGATATATTTAAACATTTTTCACATGGCCCTGCTATTCTGAAGGCAACAACCTACTTCATTGGCCATTCCCAATCCCCACTACAATCCAGTTTTAAAAGTGGACTAAGACAAATCAATGACAAAAATGTCCGTCTCTGACTGTAAGTCAGGGTGACTAGATGGAGCCTCCAGATTCACGGGCACTATACCTCTGAATTCCAGATGGTGGGGGGTTAAAACAACAGAAGAGGGCTGTTGCTTTTATGGCCTGCTTCCCCAAAGCATTTGGGCGGCCCCTGTGGGAAACAGGATACAGAACGAGACAGACCCTTTGCTTGGTCTGATTCAGCGGGCCTCTCCTCCTGCTCCCACCTAAAACATTCTTTGTCTGCTTCACGCATGTGAGGCAAGCAGTTTCATTGGCTGTCTTCTGAAGCTGATGTCATAGCAAACCAGGAAAGTCTCCCACAGCACTCTTGGGGTGGGGGAACAAACCAGCTAATCCTGGCAATTGCTCGCAGTGGCACCTCGCCCCACGGTGGCCACTTTCCACTTGCGATTGCCCGTGTCCTCCCCTGCCAACCCCCATTCAGCCTGGCCATGTCGTTAATAAAGCAACCCGCCTTCCGCAGCCGCTATTGCAGACGACCTTAATATTCCGTGAGCGTCTCGGAACGCCAACTCCCGGGTCACCTCTCTGACTTTCAGCCCTTCTCTCCCTCTCTCTTTCTTTCTTTCTCTCCCTCTCTCCCTCTCTCTCTCTTGGCTCTTGTCGTCGTTAGACAAAAGGCGGCGGGCAAACTGCTCCGCAGCAGCTCCTAACTTCACACGAGACAGGCAAGGACAAAGGAGGAGCAAGACTGCCTCCCAGCTGAACCTCCTCAGTCCACGTGGCTCCGGGGGAACCAGACCTCCCAGGCTCCCGCTCCCAGGCAAGGCGGGAATAGGCAGGAGGCGACGCCCAGGGCGCGCCCCCCACCCCCAGGTCCTGCTCTGCTATGGGGAGTGGGAAAGGGGCGCATTACGGATCCCGGATTTATTTTATTTTATTTTTAACAACAGCTGGCTGGGACTGCTCAGCCTTTTTGCCAGATTCCTGGCTCCATCTCCATTGAGAATCAAATCCGAAATGTGACACGGTCCCTTCTGCCCCGGTTCTCAGAGGCGGGACCCATCTTCATCGGAAACTGCATTTGTGCAGAGAGTCTAGGGGGAGTCTGTGGGGATCTCTTCGCCCTTTCGCGCCCGCCCGCTCCGGAAGAAAAGCGGAACAAGACTTTTCTTTCTCTCGCCAAGGAAACGTGCGTTTTAATGCCTGTCTTGGAGCGCGTCTTATTACGCATCACTCCGAGGCAGCTAAAAGCCTCGGGTCCAGAAGATCCCAACAGGGGCTTCTTATCACGTGTTGGTTTCGTTTCCATTTTTGAAAGAAAGAGAAAGGACTCGGGCCATTAAGGGGGAAGGAAGCAAAGATTCGAATCAAGGGAGTCCGCGTGGAATAGGAAAGGTGGTCAGAGGCAAGATGAACGGAAAGGTTGGGGGGCAGCTGGGGTTCCTGTTTCCAATGGTATGCTCCTCGCGGACATGAGACTAAGCAACTCGGGGTCTTGTACCCTGCCGATGCTCTATGGCAGGGACTCGGAGCCGGTGGGTGGCCCGTCATCATTCCTGCCCATTGGTCATGCTTGTGGGAGCTGGAGTCCCGAAACATCTGGAGAGATACAGATACTGCAGCCTGGCTGCATGAAAAAGTAAATAAAGTCTGCCGGAAAGACTTGCCTCCTTACTTGAAAGCCCGATCTCTACTTCCAGATGTGTGCAGCAGGAAAGAACGCCCCACCCCACCCCACAGCACCCCCTCCAAACACACACACACCCTAACTACGCTCAAGGAGTCAGTTCCCACGTGCATGCGGCTTTTAAATCCAGTGTGTGAACTGGCTCTGCTGAAAATAAACGCTATCTCCAAAATGCTAGGACATGCCCGGATGTGTGAATATTCTCTTTGTGATCTGCAAAGGCTCATTCATTCACACATGCAAAGGCATCGCTATTCGCTTGATGCAGTCATCAAACTAGTCCGGAGTCCACGCCTCTGTATTATTACTTTTCACGTGCTCCAGACTTTCGCTCCGGCATTAAATAAATAGATAAAAGCTGAGGTCCCTGGCTCAAATTAAGCCGGTTCAAACGGAGCTTGAATGAACTGATAAGTTACCTTTTCGTTACGATAGCAAAATTTATTCCTCACAAAGTTTGTGGTACGTACAGAACGTTTATTTCCTATGGTACTGTAGTAACATTCCGTTCCAAGTTCAAGAAAAGTTGCGCATGGAAAGGAACCGTAAAAAACTTGCTAAATGATCGGGAAGACGGCTAGAAGGCATTAATTGGTGATCCCTTGTGGCATTAAGAATCCCCAAGGTAGCGCAATGCGTGCAAGTATCGTGTTCTCCCTAGTGCGAGAAGATGCTTGCCCAAGAATACTTGTGTGAATGAACTTTCCCTTCCCCGCCTCCAGCCCTCCTTCGCAGTTTCCCCAGCAGGGGGAGCCGAGGGTCTATCAAAAAAGCGTCCGATTCCTAGATTTCCGACTTCGGGGTGGATGAGGTGAGCGCTCCGCGCTTTCAAACCTGCCCTTTCTACGTCCTGGGCTTTTTAAAGCGTGGTCCATCGGAACCCGAAAGGGACTGGACCAGGAAGCTGCAAGCGGCGGAGCCCTCTTTGCAAAGCGGCCCATTCATTTGCTCAAGCGGGACTTCCTGTAAAATGGGGAAGAAGGGATTGCGTCCCGGACCCTGGAAGGAGGAGGATGCGCGGGGGCGTCTTTGGATGGGCTCCCCCCCCCCTCCAGCCAACTTTTTTAAAAAATCTGCCAAAAAAAATCCCTCCCCCCACACACCCGGACTGGGAGGGGTGGGGAGTCTGTCTAAAAGAAAGCAGCTGGGCTGGGGGAAGAAGCAGTTCCTTGCCGAACCGATGGCGATGACATAGACTTTTCCTGCCGTGGAGAAAATCCTGACCCGCCGCCGCCCCACCCCCGGTGACATTTTGGAGCCCGCCAGAGGGGCTGGCGGTGCCTTGGGAAGTTGCACATCGCTCCTTTTGCACAGAAGAAACCTCGGAGGAGCTTCTCCTCCGGACGCAAACTCCCTTGTGGAGAGACACAGGCGCGCTCCAAAAGCAAACCCGAGCGGGGAAAGATTCTCTCCACCCCGCCCGCCTCCTCCTCCTCCTCCAGCACGCCTGAAACATAAGCAACCGGCCCGAAGCAGACAAAACAACGCTCCATCCTCCGACACAACGTTTCAGTGCACGAAAACAAAACTCTTACTCTTTCCATCCCCTTGCCCCCCCCCCGCACCACCACCACCACACCCACCCTCAGTTTTTTCCATGTTGCACATTCGCTCTTTCTGACCTGCCAAGTCTGAACTCAGTTCTGGATGGAGTTGCCTCCCCCTCGGGATGATGCGTTTTGCAATCTGGAGCAGTGGGTCAAGATTAAAGTTTGGGGGTTGGCTCTCCCCCCCCTTAATCTCCCCCTCCCTCCCGCTTCCTCAAAGCGTTCTAGCCTCTTGAACTCCTTTCCAGCAACTCCTTTCGGAAATCTGGGTAGGAAACTGATTAGAGACAGACCGACAGATGCCTCGCATTCACGTTTCTTTCTGAACCAAATGCCGATGCAAAGGGAATTCCGGTCACTTCCCCAATGCTTTCCTGCTTCAACGGAGGGGCTTCCCCTGCCAGTTCAACGCCCCCATTTCTCTCCCCGCACACTTTAAATCACAAAAAAGGTGTCGGTGGATGAGCAGGGGAAGGACGGTGGGAAAGAAACGTGGAAATGTTCCCCAAGACCAGTTGAAGCCGGCTGGGGGTGCCAAGGGGAGGGGACGAGGGGGAGACCCCCTTTCCTCCTCCTGGTCGCCTACCAGTGGGGCTGGAGGGTTTCTGTTCTCTGTCACCCCCTTCTCCCGGGAGATCTCCCGAGACCCCCACCCCAACCTGAGGAGGAGGAGGAGGAAGGCTGCTTCCCAGGAATCCCCCAAGCCACCTCAGCGTGGCTGGGAAGCGGTCTCTCATCCTCGCGGGCTGTTCAAGCCCATTCAGCCGAACCTGATCAGTGCAATAATCATCGTAATAATAATGAAACCCACCCGGCTTTCTACCACCTCCTTCCTCCAGCGCCGCTTTGTGCATTCAAGCCCCTACAAAGACTTCTCTCTCTTTCTTTCTCTCTCTCTCCCCCTGCCATTAACCGTTTGAGAGCCGCCAAACTCCCAACTCTACCTTGCCTGCCATTCAATTACTCCGGCCACACACACTTCCTCCATTCTTTTCACTTTTCTTTGTTCTCTCTCTCTTTCCCACCCCCCCTCCCCAGAACTTGTGGTTCCCACCAAAAAGGAACCCTTTTGCTTTGCGCCCCAGATCCGTAGATTTTCTTTTTCTTTAAGTAGCAATCCACTCCTTCCGCCTCGCCCCCTTTTCTCTTTCCCCAAACTCTTTGTTTCACAGGTAAACTGGAGTGGCCACAGCAGCGGAATCCTAGATGGTGGGAACCTTCCCCACCCGACAAATGCAGAAAATTAGAGGGGAGGGTATAGTTACCTTTTAAAGCAGTTTATTGCTGAGACTGGAAAAAAAAATCAAGGGGGGAAAAAAGAACGATTGGAAAGGAGCACCAAAAAATAAAAATAAAAATCACAGCGTGCTTGTTAATCCAGAAGTGCCCTCATGCAAGCCCTGGGCTTCTTAGTCGCTGGTCCAGGCTCGGGAGTTTTTCTCCTCGTGACCCCCCCGGTGGTGAACACCTGATCCCCGGCTGTGGAAGTCCGGCTTGGGGAGCTGCAGGCACCCAGATGCACCCAGCCCGCTTTCCCTGCAAGTTCAAATGCGGGCTCCGCCACCCATCATTATTATATCATGGTACCGTCAGCGCTCCAGAGGAGGGGCCCTGCCCTGCCTCTCCGAGAGGAGGGCTCTTCCCTCCAGCGCAAGGCGAGGTTCGCCAAGGCAGACGAGCCCCGAGCCAAAGGGGGGCAGGAGGAGCAGAGCAGCGGCGGCGGCGGCGGCGGCGGCGGCGGCTTCCCTGCGCCCGCCTCGCCTCTGCCCCCTCCCACAGCCTCCTGCCGGACTCAGCAAGTCCCAAGAGGCTCGGCAGAGCGCGGCCTCCTTCAGCCCCTCGCCGGGGATGCCGGAGAGGCGGCCGGGCGGCTGGAGCAGGGGACCTTCCCGCCTTCCGTCGCCCAAACTGGGAGAGCAACTGGTTTCAGTGGGACAAAGATGGAGACTCCCCCCTCTCTCTCTGTCTCTCTAATATGTGCCATAGAGCGTTCTGATTAACTAATTTTTATTTTATTGCATTTATAGCCCATCTTTTCTCCAAGGAGCTCAAGGGGGTGTGCATGGTTCTCTGCCTCAATTAAACCCCATAACAGTCCTGGGGGTCACCCCCTGAGCTTCGTGGTCGAGAGGGGATTTGAACCTTGGTCTCTCCCAGGCCCTAGTCCAACCCTCTTAACTACTGCACCGCACTGGGTCTCTAACCAGTGAAACGCCTCCTGTAATGGGGTGTGGGATTTGGGGGTGTCGTGTGAACCACTCTCATGGGAGAATGGGTTACAAAGTGTATGGGGTGCTCTTCTTGAAAAAAAGTTGCCCCTGTTAAATTATGACACCCAACCAACCACTGTCTTGGTGGTCCATCTAGCTCAGGATGGTCTGCACTGACTGGCAGAAGCTCTCCAGAAAAGGGGACATTATCCTTTCTAGGATTTCTAATTAAACTGCTGTTTCCTGGGTTGCCAGATATATCTGCAAGCTGAAGGAAAGCCTGTGATAAGGACAAAGTGCATTCTTCAGACATATCACAAACATATCCACAGCACTTTACAATCCTCATGCATCTGTGATGTGACTTATTGTCTTTATAAGATGGGCAGATTGCATTAACTTGCCTCCGGTCACTCTGAGTTTGGACTGGCAGGGCTTTAAACTGATGTTTCCCAGGCTTTCTTCTAAAAGTAGGGTTGCCATATTTCAAAAAGTAAAAACCAGGACACCCAAAAAGTTGTTCTGGCTTTTTTAAGGAAAACTAGAAAGTTGTTGAGCTTTGAATGCCAAATAAGCGTGATTTTTTTGCTTACTCGACAAAGATCTAGGACAAACCACCACCTTCCAGAAATTCCCCCCAGATGCCACTTCCGCCTTGGAAATCCCAGCAATGTTTGGGAAAATCCGGACATATGGCAGCCCTCTCTAAAAGCCATCATCGTGGTGGCAGGCATGTGTGTTGTACTGACACTAGCTTTCCTAGCAAAGGGTACATGAAGTGTAAAGGGGAGATGAGCATCTTTGTGTTGGCTAGAGCTCTTGGGAGTTGTAGTCTGAAACAACTATAGAGGGCATCAAGTTTGCAAAGGCTGATTTAGGGGATTCCGTAGCTGAACCATGCTTTAGCTTGTATTGGTCACACATACATGAAACTAAGGTTTGTTCAGTTATTATACATTGTACATGCGGAGAGGGAGCAAGACTGCCCCCCTTCCAGCCCCCTCTCAAGATTTCCAGGCGTGGGAAACCTGTGCCCCTCCAGATGTTTTTGAACTACAAAAGGCATCTTGCCTCATCATTGGCCATGATGGGGTGGAGCTGAGAAGACCTGGAGTCCAGAAACATCTGGAGGTTCCCCACCCTGACTTAAGATGCTTGTTTCCCCCCCAACATCCACACATTTACCAGAACGGGAGCTTATCCATCTGCTTCCTAGAAATATTTGTTTGTGGAACAAGACTGAAAACTGGTTCACCCAATACAAAAGAGCTCCACACAATGCACCTCAACTGTTCCAGGGGACACATTCAAACAAAGAACCACGGCATGTGTGAACCAAGGCCTCCACAGATGCAGGTACAACTTTACAGGGAGAAGATAAATGTGTGAATAGTAGGATGAAACGGTGAAATCTGCTATGATTAAATGGGCACAAGATGTTGGACATAACATAATGATGGCTGACTGGGAACAGTTATGGACCACAGGTATGAAATTCACGGCATGTAATGCCTTAAGAGAGAATATTATGAAAATGATATACAGGTGGTACATGACACCAGTCAAGCTTGCAAAAATCTATCATTTGCCCGATAATAAATGTTGGAAATGTAAAGAAACTGAAGGTACATTCTTTCACCTTTGGTGGACGTGCCCAAGGATTAAGACTTTCTGGGAGATGATTTATAATGAAATGAAAAGGGTATTTAAATATACCTTTCTGAAGAAACAAGAGGCCTTTCTCCTGGGCATGGTCGGCCAAATGGTGCAAAAGAAGGACAGAACTTTTTTTATGTATGCCACAACAGCAGCAAGAATACTTATTGCAAAGTATTGGAAGACACAAGATCTACCCACTCTGGAAGAATGGCAGATGAAGGTGATGGACTACATGGAATTGGCGGAAATGACTGGCAGAATCCGAGACCAGGGAGAAGAGTCGGTGGAAGAAGATTGGAAGAAATTTAAAGACTATTTACAGAAATATTGCAAAATTAATGAATGTTAGAAGGATGTCAGAATGAAATTAAGTGGTTTAAGCAGCAATGTTATAAAGGTGTATGTAAAAATGGATTGTTAACAGGTGAGAATCCAAAGTTATAATATATTATGTTAAAGGACTAAGATAAAAACAAAGAGGGAAAGAAATTGCTGAATTAACTAACTGAATTGGAATACAAAAAAGGGAGGCGTGAGGAGGTCAGGGAAACAAGGAAATGAATGTAAGGTATGGAAAGACTGATGTATTTTTTTAAGTGGTTTTTTATCTTTTTTGTGTATTTTGTATTTTTTCTTTAATTTTTATTTTTGTCTTTCTTTTTCTTCTTTTTTTAATTCATGTAATTCTTTTCTTTGAAACCTTAATAAATATCATTTCAAAAAAAGATAAATGTGTGAATAGTAATAGTGGTGGTAGCCGCAGTAATAAGTAGAAATAATACACTTAAATGAGTTAAGTGTACTGTGTTATTGTAATGTGGGAATCTCTTAGCATTGTGAAAATGCTTCTACTTACACACAATAAATATGGATAGCAAGAGATGTTCTCTTCTGCAGGACACAAATTTATAATCCTAAAAAGCAAGCAACTGGCCAATGAAAATCTCCCAAGCCTCCTTTATAATCTTCTCATGCCAGTAAAAGAGTAACATCCTAAACCCTTTCTCACTTGAAGGGAGTTTTAAAGAAAAATACATTTGCAATTGTTAACTTCATCCCTTTCTCTGCCAGAACTGTGGACAGTCCAACATTAACAGCTTTTCTAGCCAGGGGTGTTTCCCTCTGAGGTTTAGCAATCTCCAGCCCTTAACACGGGGGGGGGGGGGCTTTTACAGTGCACTGTGGGCAGCTTCCCTACAGAGCTGATGCCTTCTGCTGAAGGTGGCAGTGGGTGCTCATTTTCTCAGTGTGCCACCCCCTTTCCCATGGATATTCATGCTTCCCCCACCCCACCTTGCCCCGCTGATTCATTTGGCCTTGTGGCTGGATTGTTTGTTTCCCCTTAATTGCACTTGGAGAGGCTCACACTTTTTATTTCTTGGCCTGGGGAACATTGTTTACAGCAAAGGTCAAAGACTTCTGTTTTACATCATTTGATTCTGCACTTTCGGGTTTCTTGGATGTGCCTTAAGGTCTGGGTTTTTACCTTAGGGGGAGTAGCATGATTGTTACTTCCCTGCAGTTGCTACCTATGTCATCCCAGTAAAATTAAAACCACGAAGTCATGTGGGAGGGGCTGGCAAAGTTGTTCTATTCCATGTCAATCTGGCCCCTCCAGGGGGTGGGGCGAGGCTGCTGTAGCAAGTCACCATGTCATTATCCCCTCCCACATAATCTCTCTTTTAATAGGACCAGGGTGGAGTGGGAAGCAGCTATGGGGGAGCATGAGATACGTTGCATGAGCAACGTAAGAACTGGCCCTAGAATGACTGTCTGGCTCTATTATAGGGATTCCCACTGAGGCCACATAGTAAAGGATTGGTTAGTGCTTCCATGTGTAGGCCTGCACTTAATTATTCTAAAAAGAGAGAGTTAAGACTGATATTGTTTTCTATCACTGCTGCTAGATTTTCTGCTTGCCGTTAAATGTACTCCTGATCCCTTTTTCTGCTTAATTCCTGTACTTCACGATAAGACAATTTTTACACTTCATGATTTCCAGAGGAGCAGCAGTGTTAAGCCTTCCACATCAAAACCAAGAAAGTTGGAGACTTGTGGCACCTTAGAGATTAACCAATTTATTATGGAAAAAGCTGTCATGGAGTACAGTCTACTTTATCAGATGCTCAAAGTGTTATCTTTAGTCGCGGGTAAATATATATATACACATACTAGGGATGTCCAACTCCCAATAGACTGTGATCTACTCACAGTATTAAAAAAACTGGCAGTGATCTACCCATTGTCGCTGGATGGACCAAAGTTGGTGAGCTTTGGGGGAGGGATTGCTAGGAGCCAGAGATCTACCAGGATCTACCAGGAACACCCTGTGATCTTCAGCAGATCACGATCTACCTGTTGGACATGCCTGAATTATATACCATGGTTGGGGGGAGGATCGTAAAAAGTCAGGTCAGAGGGAAATGACATGCAGAAAAGTGCAGTGATAATTACATACTTAACAATGGTAATTCATAAAACAGCTTTTGATGGCACAGATATCCTGGCATTGGGTAGCTAATTAACACATATAATGTGCTAAAATGCCTTTGTTTTGGTTAGATTTTTTGTTCTTGAAGGTCATTTACAGAGTGTCCTGGAAAGCAGAAATGCCCCCCAACCCCGCTTTTGAATACTACTATTCCTGATGCCAGATTTGTGCCCATTTATCCTTTTGCACAGTGTCTTTTGCATGGTTTCGTCCTATGTAGAATGCAGAAAAGAACATTCCTAGGAGATACTGGCATATGGAAGACGAGTAGGAGAAGAAGCATGTGATACTGTGAATGACATTATTAGGTTCTGTAACAGTGTTGTCAGAATGTACACATCGATGACTTAAAACACAGCTAGATCATTCTTTTTCTCCATTTGGATTGAAGTTGGTCTCTGGGAGAAATGCATCAAATTGCAAATGTTCTGTGGCTAATGTCTTGTGTATACCACTTCCTAAAGCAGTTGTGGGAGTGCACTGGATGCAGAGAAAACAAGACTATCTGCACAGTTAGATATGTGGAAATAGTTGAAGAGTTTGTATTTGATATCCTGTTTTATCACTACCCTAAGGAGTCTCAAAGCGGCTTACATTCTCCTTTCCCTTCCTCCCCCACAACAAACACTCTGAGGTGAGT